CGGATAACCGTTGTAGTGACTCTGGAGTGGTGGTGCACTGATGGGAGTTGAATGTGCACTAAATTCTCGCTGCTTAGATTAAGGAATAATAGGACCATGACTCCCTGAAGCACTGTGAGATGCCTGGAGTGTTGAATGAAACGTCCTGGGAGGATGACCTTTACCAAAATTACCGCTGCCTCCAGACGAGGCACCACCAAACCCAGCAAACTGACGAGGCCTCTTATCAGACCCCTGCCCTCTCTCCTGTGCAAGAACCATCTCGATCTTCCTAGAAGCATTAGCAGCCTCCTGAAGGAAATCTCACTTCCAGTCTCCTTGGCCATCTGATGCTTGATAGGGTGAGTGAGTCCATCAATAAACCTCCCTACTCTCTCTACCTCAGTAGGAAGTAAAAGGAGAGCATGACAGGCTAGATCCACAAAACGGGTCTCGTACTGAGTAACGGTCATATTGCCCTACTGGAGACGTTCAAATTGCCTGCTGTAATCCTCTCTTAATGTGATAGGGAGGAACGTCTCTAGAAATAGCCATGAGAACTGCTCCCAGGTCAATGCAGGCGATCCAACTAGTCTGGTCAACGCATAATCTCTCCACTACCTCTTGGCGGATCCCGACATCTGAAATACAGCAAAATCGACCCCATTGGTCTCAACTATACCCATGTTCTGCAATACCTCATGGCTGCAGTCAAGATAATCCTGTGGGTTCTCAGAAGGTGTACCACTGAAGTGAACTGGAAATAGCTTAGTAAACTTGTCCAATCTCAATAAGACCTCAGAAGACATGGCAGGCCTATCACCGACCTGTGCCGTAATAATTGGCTAAACTACCCCAACTGGCAGGGTTGTTGGAGCCTGATACTGGGGAGCCATCTACTCCGGAGCAAGAGTAGTGGGAGTTTGTGCTCCTTCCCCAGCCTGTGAAACGACTGGTGTCATTGGAAATGTACCATTCTGGGCCACGCCCTCCATAAGACTCACCAAACAGACTAGAGTGTCCCGAAGCACTGGAGTAGCTATGAATCCTTCCGAAACCTGAACAGGTCCAACCGGTACAGTTTGAACTAGAAACGCTTCCTAAAGATCCACCCGAGGTTCTACAACATGTGCTGATGCTCGAGCTCTAGACTGAGCTCTGCCTCTAGCACGACCTCGGCCTCTACCTCTACCCCTGGTCATAGTTGCCACCGGAGGCTCTAGTCCCTGTCAGTCGGTAGATGTATTACGTGTTCTCCCCATCTGCGAGAAAATAAGAATAGAATGGTTCATAGACTTTGGAAGATAAGTACAGACGTCTCCGTATCGATCCTTCAGACTCTCTAAGCTTGCTCGTGACTCGTGAGACCTATGTATCCTAGTGCTTTGATACCAACTTGTCACGACCCGAAATTTCCACCTTCGGTACTGTGATGGCGCCTAATATTTCACTTACTAGGCAAGCCAACGTTAGAATAATTTAAACAATTTTTTTTTTACAATTTTAGATCTCTTAATAACAAAGAAACAAGTGCGGAAATAAATTCTGAAATAAAGTGAATAATCCATAATAATAGTGATGTCTAAATACCATCCCAGGACTGGAGTCACAAGTGCACAAGCTTCTAGAATAATACAAACAAGGGTCTGAATAAAATAAAATTGTCTGAAAGAAAGCACATAGCTAAAATAAAGTATAAGGGGACTTCAAAACTACGAATGTTGTGTAGTTATACCTCAAGTCTCCTTTGGGTAGCTCAAATCTGAGCAAGTCTATGGTACGCCGCTGGGACCAACTCCAAAATTTGCACAAGAAGTGCAGAGTATAGTATGAGTACAACCAACCCCATGTACTCTGTAAGTGTCGAGCCTTACCTCGACGAAGTAGTAACGAGGCTAAGGTAGGTCACTTACATTAACATGTACGCAATAATAGTAATAACTACAATAATAGAAATAAAACAGGTAACTTATTTCAACAGTTGAAGCCAACTCCGCAGTCATAACCAATTATTATTTCAATCAATTTTTGTTGTGGCGTGCAACCCGCTCCAACAATATAATTCTTCAATAAATTTCCGTTGCGGCGTGCAACCCGCTCCAACAATATAAATTTAAAATATAATCTGTTGCGGCGTGCAACCCGATCCCCCAATATATTCCTTTTCATTTCTATTGCGCCGTGCAACCCGCTCCAACAATATAATTTAACAACTCTTAAATATAAAAAAAAAATACTCCCATAAATACCACATTCAGTAAGACATTATTAGGCAAAAAGGCACACAATATTTATAAATTATTTAGGAAACAAGTAATGATAAGTAGCAATTAATTATGAAAATCATGAAGAACATAAGCAATTTCATATTTAATATGTTAAATGTCAAGTAGCAATTAAGACACGTAAATCAAATAAGCATGTAAGAATTATTGCATGAATTCAAGAATTAATATTTGACAAGGAATATGAGAGAAACAATTATTATAATAATTAATTTGTGTCTTAAAATAATTTATGATTTTTAAATAATTATACAAATAATTAATTTGACAAAGTATAAGCACTCTTCACCTTGCCTATATATCGTTACACATGAAATTCAAGTAACAAATAATTTGAGGGTTCTATTCCCTCAAGTCAAGATTAACCACGATACTTACCTAGATTTTCCACCAACTCAAAATTCCAATACACCCTTGCCTCGTGAATTAGTGTCTGAAAATTTCAAATCTAGTCACAAACAATTCAATATACTCAACACGAATCGTATGAATTTATTCCATATGAATTTATAAATTTTTCGGATTAAAATCCAAAATTTATTTTAAAAATCGATAGTGAGACCCACGTCTCGAATCCAAGAAAAACTCACATAATCTGAACACCCGTTCTGATATAAGTTCAACCATAAAAAAATTATCGAATTACGACATCAGATTGACCTTCAAATCTTCATTTTACATTTTTGGAAGATTTTATAAAAATCTGATTTGTCCTCCATAAATTTACGGATTCATAATGTAAATAAGTATGGAATCATGAAATATAATCAATATAGGATAAGGAATACTTACCCCAATATTTTTTCGTGGAAATCGCCCAAATATCGTCTTAACCGAGCTCAAAATCATGGGAAATGAAAAATGGGACGAAATCCCATTTCCAAAACTTAAGTTCTGTTGCCTAGTCATTTACCCTATGCGATCGCGGCCAAACTCCCGCGATCGTGAAGCACAAAAATTTTAAAGCATTGTTTTACTCTATGCGATCGCGGCCATTCTCCCGCGATCGCGAAGAACAAATATTTCCAACAGCCTTCTCCAACACTTACGGACAACTTCTAGTATAAAGGTCATAACCTTTTGTACAAAACTTCAAATAACAAATGATTTATCTTTCTGAAAACTAGACACTACTATCTACAACTTTTGTGTTTTGGTCATCTCCTAATTCTTTATACATTTCGAGATATAAGCTGTCAAAGTCAGCCCTGTGCAACACAAATTTCTTCTTCGTGATTTTCAAATATCTTCCCGCACAGCCTGTAGTGTACTAACCATAACTTTTTGTACACAAGTCCAAATGCCAAATGTTTTACTTTTGTGAAAACTAGAGACAAAGGGCTACAACTTTTATTTTTGGATCATCTCCAAATTCCTTATAGATTGCGAGATATAAGTTTCGAAAGTCGGGTCAATGCAGCAAAAGTTTCCTCTACGTCATCGCGAAAGGTCATCCGCGATCATGAAGCACTGGTCAATTTCTTGCACTTTACTCATTGCGATCGCAGACAATTACCCGTTATCGCATAGAACACTGCTGTAGCAAAAAACCAGCAGCTAAAAATGGACTAGAAATGGTCCGAAACTACCCCGAAATTCATACGAGCCCCTCGGGACCCCGTCCGAATATTCCAACAAGTCCCGAAACATAATACGGACTTACTCGGGATTGCAAATAACGTCAAACAATATTGAAATTATAATTCACACCTCGAATCGGACTTATGAGTTTCAAACTTTTTAATATACAAACCTAGTGTCGAAACATGTTAAATGAATCCGGAATGACTTCAAATTTGGCACACAAATCATAAACATTTAATATTTTTCTCGGCGAAGCGGTGACCGTTTCCACCCTTGTGCATCCGCCCCTGACAGCAGTGCAACATGATGCCATTTGGGGGACTATTGATCGGCTGACCAAGTCAGCTCACTTCCTGTCGATCAGTATGACTTACTTTATGGGCAAGCTAGCCCAAATATATATTGATGAGGTAGTGCATCTATATAGAATATCATCATCCATAGTATGAGACAGAAATCAACGGTTCAATTCAATCTTGTGGCAAAGCCTACAGAGAAGGCTTTGGGTAGCAGAGCGAGCCTAAACCTTCCATGCTCAGGTCGATGGCTAGTCTAAGAGGACCATCTAAACATTGAAGTCTATGTGGAAGTAATCGCTTGATTTTCGAGATTATTGGGTCTTGAAAATACCCTTAATAAAGAGCGATTCCCCTTTAATTGAATGACATGAATCTAAAAAGTCCAGTTAGTTAATTTCGAATACCATATATGTAATTATATATGGGAAAATATAAATAAAGCTAACAAATAAAGAGATAAGTGATCGTACACGAGGATGGAGTCGGCAAATTTGGTGTTTTTAATTATTTGTGGTTAGTTGAGATTCCTGTGCTAAATGGTCAAATTGGACTAACACAATCTACATGTCGAGGGCTCTCTTTTTTATTTTAATTTGGTTTTTCTGGTTGTCACTTTGCTCTCGAAGAGCGTAATTGTTTGAGTTTACGTGGTTTTTTTTTTTATTCGCCTATTCATATTAACCTATTTTTCTAGCTCGATTTAGAATTCACATATAAAATTTAATTGGTGATCAAACAATTTAAACACTTAGGCGCAAGATTACATATATACCTAACTCGTAAAACTAAAATCAAATCATTAACAAAAGATAGGAATCATAACATTCATATCAAGTTTCTCATGGCACGAAAATAACAACTTATTTAATCAAATAAAAGGGTAGAAATCAACAAATAGAGAAAAATAAATAACTCTATTCAAGCCTCCAACTCCCATAGCGTTAGCCTCTCAAAAGTTCCTCCAAAGTTTAATAAAAACATCCCAAAAACATAAAATTGAGGACATAAAACTGAATAATTGAAGTATAGTTCTATAATAAGATACCCCTTTAATTAAAAATAAATATGAGCATCAATTCTTTTACATGTAACTTTGTAACATGTAAACTCCTCACGTTGACATCCATGTATAAGTTAATAATTCAGTAAAATTTTGAGGAAACATATTACTAAGACATAATATTTTTCTGAGTTTAACTTATATATATCGTCAGTATAAGGTATTTTTACACTATGAGATCACCCAAAGAATTTTATTAAAATATGAGATTTATAATTTTGAACCATAAATGTGACTCGATAGTGTAAAAAATTCGTACACTGACAGTATATATAAGTTAAACTTATTTATAGGTGACGGCCACCGGTACCACCTTCTCTATTGCAATTGAAGTAAACAGCAGCAACAGGCGAATTGAGATTATGAAATCTCGCAAAGTCTCTTGTGTTAAAATTCTGACGAGAATCAATTATATCAGGAGCATTCACAACCTCTCGATCCAATTGCTGAAACAACACGAAAATATAGCGATGAATTCCCAGTGAAGGTCGTGGACTCTCGTATCGTATAATTTCATTGCCTGCATTATACATCATAAATTAAAAATAGCTGACAGATGTATGCTGGTTAAGAAAAGCATGCAGCAAATTCGCGGGTTATTTGTTTAAAGATCCTTTTTTGTATGTACATATATGCAAGATTAATCGTTTTTGCTGCCTCTCACCATTTCTTGGTTAGATACAAACATTAATATAATCTTTTTCTTGTCCAAGAAAAAAAAATCGGTTAATTTCACGTATGGATAGGAATTATATAGTCATAAAATTATTTTATGTTGCATTAAAGTAATTGAGTATAACAAATAAATCACTAATAAGTTGTACCTACTATAACGGTAAAGTCAATAACACTATTATATTGAAGAAACTGAATTTTACCTACTGTATAACAATAAAAACATTGAATTTTACATGTTGTGACGCTAAAACTTATACATTAAGGTGACTTTAATGTAAGAAAGACTTACCAAAGTTTGCTCCTGTGGTTGCTGGGATATCTGTGACCAGCCTAGCAAAATTAATTAAAGGAGTTAGCATAAAAAGGAGAAAGAGACACTTATTTTTTAATTTTTATTTTTCTGGGATATATGTGTGTGTTCTACAATCAACAAATCGAAACCGTTAAATTGTTTTAAATTTTCATTTGATTTGGTTTAAATATTAAAAAATTAACTTAATTGGTTTATTCTTTTTAAGCAAAATCAAATTAAATCGAACCAAAACACCCCTAAATCCCGCTAGAAGGTCAAATAAGCAGTGCGCATCTACATATACCGAAGGATGATCAGTTTAGCATCAATCATCGGAAAATTATAATGTGTATATAAAAATTAATACTATGTAAATAAATTAACTATATATATATATACACACACACACACGCTCCTTCCGTTTTAATTTATGTGAACATATTTGATTGAATACGGAGTTTAAGAAAAAAAAAAAAAAGGAAATACTTTTGAACTTATTGTGTAAAATGAGATACATATATTTTGTGTGGCTAAAAATCTTTGCATAAAGGTAAATTGTTTTCAAATATGGAAATGAGTCATTCTTTTTGGTACACACTAAAAAGGAAATATGTTTACCTAAATTGAAACGGAGGGAGTATATATTAAATCTTGAACACTTTTAACGGAATTTCTAATTTAAAGTGTGATTTCATGCCAAAGCTAAGAATGTTTTTTTTCTTTTGACATACGTGCATGAAAAAGAAGAGAAAAAATAAATAAAAGATGGATCATAGCTATAAGCTAGGCTTACCAGTGCAGATACTCCCTCAGGTTTGGGTTGCTTGGGGTTGGAGCATCTGGATCCACCATAACCTTCCAAAAACGCATAGAGTATTTCAAATATCTTGAAACCAATGCCAAATTAAGAAAATAATTTAACTTTTATATATTGATCAATTATGTAAATAAAATTACTATTATTAGTGTATTTTAATTTGTAACATGTGATATTCTTTATTTTTCAAGTTATTAATCTCACCTTTTATGCAGTATAAATGGTTACATATATATATATATATATATA